TTTTTAAAATCTATTATAAAAGGGACTTAAACTAGCATCCTATCCTAAATAATGAAAGCCTGATATGCAAATTGTCCCCTCTGGTGGTTGTTCAACCAGGAGTTCAACTGGGAGTTCGACTGCTCGCTATGACATGTGCTGACCACCAGGGGGCAGAATGGAACATGGTGGGAGTTGGCGATGCTGTGCTGGCAGCGGGCAGCAGTGGAGGCGCTGCTGGCCCTGATGGGCCCTGACAAGAACGGGTCCGTGGTGGGATGGTGGAGCAGTTGAGCAGGTGGTGCCAGGTAAAGGCAGGGTGCCAGGTGGGGCTGCAGGACTGCGAGGCTGGGGGCACAAGCTGGGGCCCAATCTCCGCAGGCTACCCTAAGGGACCCCACCAGTATATATACTGGAGGCCCAGTGCATGAAATTCCTGTGCCCCCTCACAGACCAGAAGCCCTCAAGGGATGTCCCACTAACGGCTTAAGCCCGCTCCCCATGCTGGCAGTCAGATATCCTTAGCGCTACCGCTGCACTTGCCAACTGTGAGTCCGGCTTCTGGCTGAGCGGCACTCCCCCTGTTTTAGTGCACTGACCACCAGGGGCAGCTCCTGTGTTGAGCGTCTGCCCCCTGGTAGTAAGCGAGTATCATAGTGACTGGTCGTTCCGCCATTGGGCTGAAACCAGATTTCCAACATCCCCCGAGGTGTCCTGGATTGTGAGATGGCACAAGCCAAGTGGAGGGACCTCACTGGTGCATGATTGGGGCTGGGGAGGTTGGCCAGCCGGGGAGGGGTCATGGGAGGGCTCCAGGGCATGTCTGGCCCATCTCACTCAGTCCTGATTGGCCAGACCCCAGCATCAAGCTAACCTATCGGTCAGAGTGTCTGCCCCCTGGTGGTCAGTGTACATCATGGTGAGCGGTTGAGCAGCCTTAGCATATCATTAGCATATTATGCTTTGATTGGTTGAATGGACGGCCGGACACTTAGCATATTAGGCTTTTATTATAACTTGATGTTAACTTTGAGTTTTGTTAAAAAAATAATACTCTGATATTTGTTAAAATGGTAAGGAAGACTTTATTTGGGACTATTGTGATGGGTGTCAAGACTGTCACAATAGGGAGACAGATTCGTTTCAACTCTAAATACAATAAAGACATCTGGGGATTATAGCCAAGAAACAGGTTGTGTGTTGGGGGTAGCTTGGGGTTGGTGGGTGAAAAATTACTAGAGGATACATCAAGATTAGGGAGAATTCTTGCTATACACTTACTTTAACAATATTCTTATTGAAAGGCAGGTCAAGATGATCAGATATCAAGGCTGGGGGATGAGGAATTTGATTAGATATCAAGAGTCGGAGGATCCTCTTTAAGCTGACCAAGCAGGATTCTTACCAAAACTGGACTGTGCAAGGATGGCCACTGAAGCCGTAGGTCAAGGCCTAGAAGAGGGCTCAGAGGAAACTAACAAACATTTAGTGCAGGAAAGTCTGTCAGTTTGCCAGTGATGAAGGCAAGGGAAGGACATGTTGGCCTACAGAATCAGCATTGTTCACATGGTAATGAATACCATCATTCTCTACATTTCCATGGAATTGATCTCAGGTCTGATTTATCATTTGTGTTCCAAATTTTCATAAAAGTACACTGGGAGGCAGTATGTGAACAAGCAGCATTGTAAGCAGGGGTAGTGAGGGAAATAGCTAGGGGGAATATATCTGAGGGCCCGGCAAGTACAATCACCCTCAAGGCATCTCGGTGTGCTGGAGGAAGGACAAAACATCCAATGTGACATGATCAGAAGGTGGAGTAGGACTTGAGGGAATAGTTATATCATTTCAGATCCTAGAGGCTATTGTGAAATCTTCAGGTCTAACTCTGAGATGGAAAGCCATTCCAGGGTTCTGAATAGAGAAATGGTCTAACTTACATTTTAAAGAGATCTGTCTTCTGTCATGAGAAGGGACTGTAGGAAAGCAAGCTAGAAGAGGGGAGACTGATTAAAAGGCGTTTCGTTTCTAGTAGCCCAGGGAGGCACGAAGGCGGCCCCTTCTAGGGTAGGACTTGTGAAGATGGTGCGTGGTAGAGATATTCTAAATACGAATTGAAGGTAGAGGTGAAGGGTTGGCTGATAAATATGCCTGATCTGCTAGAAAGAGGAGATAACTTTATTTTTTGTTTTTGTTTGTTTGTTTGTTTTGTTTTGGGGGCAGGCAAGATTGCAGCAAAAATAAGTACTTTGAAGAAAGACTAGCAGTTTGGGTTTTGACATTTTAATCCAGGATGCCTATTACATTTCTGAGTGGTGAGGTCAGACAGGACCTAAGGATAATATTTTGAGTCACAGGATGTGATCACCTGGGAAATGAGTGTACATAGGTAGGTCCAATGGCTGTGATCCAAA